ATTTTAGTTGCCCTCCTCTGGACACCTTCCAGCATGTCAATAGCTCTTTTAAACTGTGGTGCCCAGAATTGGACACAGTATTCCAGGTGAGGTCTAACCAAAGCAGAATACAAAGGCACCATGACTTCCCTTGATCTAGACACGATATTCCTTTCGATGCAGCCCAAAATCTCATTGCCTTTTTTAGCTGCAACATCACTCCTGGCTCATGTTCAACTTGTTGTTCTCAAAGACGCCAAGATCTTTATCACATGGACTTTTGTTGAGGCAGGCATCACCCATCCTGTATCTTTGCATTTCATTTTTTTCTGCCTAAGTGTAGTATTTTACATTTGTCCTTGTTGAAATTCATTTTGTTAGTTTTGACCCAGCTCTCTAATCTGTAAAGGTCATTCCGAATTCTGATCCTGCCCTCTGGAGGTCATTCCGAATTCTGATCCTGCCCCTATCTCTCCTAATTCGGTGTCATCTGCAAACTTGATAAGCACACTCTCTAAACTTTCATCGAACTCACTAATGAAGGTGTTGAACAGTACTGGGCCCAGGACTAAACCCTGTGGCACTCCCCTAGTTACTTTTTCCAGAATGAAGAGGAACCATTAGTGATCACCCTTTGGGTTTGTTCGCTTAACCCAGGGGTCCTCAAACTTTTTAAACGGGGGGCCGGATTACTGTCCCCCAGACCGTTGGAGGGCCGGACTATAGTTTTTTTTAAAAAAATGATGACCAAATTCCTATGCACACTGCATATGTCCTATTTTGCTACTGTTATGAATTGTAATGTAAATATCTGATATGCATGATGTATTTTTATTGTTACAATCTGAACATAAAGCATAGGTTTTAGCATTTCTGAAGATAAAATAGTTCCAATTAAAATGAGGAAAACATTCTATTTTCTGTCTTTTTGAAAGTGGTTTTTGGAATATGTAAGCATGAGTCCCCTTTCAGGGGGAGAAGGGCAGGGTATAAATATAGGAAATAAATCTATATAAATAAAAATGTAATGTTCGTTTGTGGGATTAACAGAACTCAAAAACCACTGGACACCTAACAACCCAATGTATGTCCTTCACTCAAAAAAATTGATTTTGTCATTTGGGAGTTGTAGTTGCTGGGATTTATAGTTTACCTATAATCAAAGAACATTCTGAACCCCATCAACGATGGAATTGAACCAAACTTGACACACAGTTCTCCCATGACCAACAGAAAATACTGGAAGGGTTTGGTGGGCAGTGTCCTTTGGTTTTGGAGTTGTAGTTCACCTACATCCAGAGATCACTGTGGACTCAAACAATTATGGATCTGGACCAAACTTGGCATGAGTACTCAATATGCCCAAGTAGGAACACAGATGGAGCTTGGGGGAAGTATTTGCTGGGATTTATAGTACACCCACAATCAAAGAGCATTCTGAACTCCACCAATGATGGAATTGAACCAGTCTTGGTACACAGAACTCCCATGAACAACAGAAAATACTGGAAGGGTTTGGTGGGCATTGACCTTGAGTTTTGGAGTTGTAGTTCACCTGCCTCCATAAATCACTGTGGATTCAATGAAAGATCTGGCCCAAACTTGGCACGAATATTCCATATGCCCAAATGTGAACACTGGTGGAGTATGGGGGAAATAGAATCTTGACATTTGCGAGTTGTAGTTGCTGGGATTTGTAGTTCACCTACAATCACAGAGCATTCTGAACTCCACCAACGATGGAATTGAACCAAACTTGGCACACAGTTCTCCCATGACCAACGGGATGGAGAAGCCTGTGGAGGGAGAAGCGCTCTCTGCTCTCCCACGGAGAACAGAGAGCGCAGCAGAGTGGACGCCATTCATTCCTCTGTAACAGACGATCCCTGGTGGCAAGGAAGGCGTGCGCAAATGGTGGAGGCGGCGCCGGGTGGGTGTGGCCAGGCTTCCAGGCGAGGGATGCCAGCATCGTTGGCCACGCCCACCCGGCGCCACCTCCACCATTTGCGGACGCCTTCCTTGCCACCAGGGATCGTCTCTTACAGAGGAATGGCGTCCGCTCTGCTGCGCTTCTCCCTCCACAGGCTTCTCCTTCCACACATGGAGAAGCCTGTGGAGGGAGAAGCGCAGCAGAGCGGATGCCATTCCTCTGTAACAGAAAATCCCTGGTGGCGCGAATGGTGGAGGCAGCGCCGGGTGGGCGTGGCCAAGCGATGCTGGCATCCTTCGCCTGGAAGCCTGTTACAGAGGAATGGCGCCCGCTCTGCTGCGCTCTCTGTTCTCCGCGGGAGAGCAGAGAGCGCTTCTCCCTCCACAGGCTTCTCCATCCCGTGTGGAAGGAGAAGCCTGTGGAGGGAGAAGCGCAGCAGAGCAGACGCCATTGGCGGCGGCGGCGAGGGGCTTTGGACGGGCCGCGCGGCGAGGGGCTTTGGACAGGCCAGGACAGGCCGCGCGGGCCGGATAAAGGCCCTTGGCGGGCCGCATACGGCCCGCGGGCCGTAGTTTGGGGACCCCTGGCTTAACCAATTATAGATCTACCTAATAGTATTGCCTAGCCCACATTTGACTAATTTGCTTGGAAGAAGATCATGGGGGACTTTGTCAAAGGCCTTACTGAAATCAAGATATGCTACAGCCACAACATTACCTGCATCTACCAAGCTTGTAACTCCATCAAAAAAAGAGATTAGTCTGGAATGATTTGTTTTTGAGAAATCCATGTTGACTTTTAGTAATCATAGCATTTCTTTCTAAGAGATTGAAGACTGCCTCCTTAATGATTTGCTCTAGAACCTTTCCTAGTATTGATGTCAGGCTGACTGGACGGTAATGGTTTGGGTCATCTTTTTTTCCCTTCTTGTAGATAGGGACATTTGCCCTCCACCAGTCTGCTGGGTCTTCTCCTGTTCTCCAAAAAATCTCAAAGATTATTGCCAGTGGTTCTGAAATGACTTGTGCTAGTTCCTTCAATACTCTCGGATGTAGTTCATCTGGAACTGGAGACTTGAATTCATAAAGAGTTGCCAGATATTACTGGACTACTTCTTTACTTATTTTGGGTTGCATTTCCCTTATTACTGTACCACGTCCGCTCCGTATTGCTCAGGTTGAAGCCAATCTCCTTTTGGGAGAAGACTGAGGAAAAGAAGGTACTGAGCCTTTTCCCTATCCCGTTAGCATTTCACCACCCTCTCCCCACAGAGGCCCTATCATTTCCTTTTTCTTCCTTTTTCTACTGATATAACCAAATAACCCATTTTTATTGGTTTTAATGTCTCTGGCAATCCTGAGCTCATTTTGCGGCTTACTCTTATGAACCTTTTCCCTACATATGTTGGTTATTTGTTTGAATTCCTCTTTAATGATTTTTCCCCCTTTTCCATTTCTTGTGCATGTCTCTTTCAAATCTTAGCTAAGTTAAAAGTTCTTTGGACATCCATTCTGGTTGTTTTACCCTTCTATTTTTTTCTCCTTGCTGGCACTCTTTGCAGTTGTGCCTTCAGTATCTCACTTTTAAGAAACTCCCATTCATCACTAATTTCCTTCTCTTTTAGTATTCCTGTCCATGGACTCACACTTAGTATTTCCTTAAATTTTCTGAAGTCAGCTCTCCTAAAGTCTAGAACGTGTGTTTGACTTCTCTTAATTTTATCCTTCCTTTATATCACAAACTCTAGGAGCATATGGTCACTCCCACCTAAGGATCCCACCACTTCCACTCCATTGACCAGCTCCTCACTGTTGGTTAGGATCAGATCCAGAATAGCGGATCCCCTTGTCGCCTCGTCTACCTTCTGGACAGTAAAATTGTCTGCAAGGCAAGCGAGGAATTTGTTGGACTTTGTACTCTTCACAAAGTTTGTTTTCTAACAAATATCAAAGTAGATGAAGTCCCCAATTACTACTATGTCTCATCTTTCTGCATGTTTGGTCATTGGTCAGGTGGTCTGTAATATGGTCTTCCTTTTTTTCCTACTGCCTCCCACATTATTAAGCACTATTGTCTTTTCTGATGAGCTGTGCCATCATATGATAAGACCAATGTACAATAGCCTCTATTTGGTTATTTGGTCTGGGGAAAAATTGGACTTGATTTGCTCTCAGACTCATGTATTGGTCTTTTAGGCAACCCATGATATTTGTAGAATTCTCCTCCAGCACACTATTTCTCTTCTGTTAGCTTTGTTCATTGTCCAGTTTTCACACCAATATATAGAAAATATTCCGTATATATATATATATATATATATATATATATATACACACACACACACACTACAACATCCATATTCAGCAGAGTTAGCAAAATGGAAATGACCGTTAATCCTGTGAATTTTGATCTATGGTCCCAGAACATAAGTGAAACCTCTTGTGATATTGATAGAACAATCTCAAGCCTGTCTATGTAGGGTTCTTCCAGACAGGCCTTATATCCCAGGATATGATCACAGGTTTTGTTTACCCCAGATTATCTCACACTGTGGACTCACATAACCCAGTTTAAAGCAGAAAACCTGGGATATAGGGCCTGACTGAAAGGGTCCTTAGAAATGACTCAGACTACTCAGATGGTCTCTTCAGTCTTCCCAAAGTTTGTATCAATGCAAGATAATTAGTATCTATCCACAGAGCTTTGAAAAGTTATTTTTTTGGGCTACAACTCCCAGAATTGGAAAGTCCAATTGTACAAAAATGGAAAGAGTTATGGCTCCCTCTTATAAAGGCATTACCTTTCTGGAGGGAGCCAGTGTGGTGTAGTACCAGGATCCCAGGGGTCAAATTCCCCTTGGTCACATAACTCCACTGAGAGTATTGTACTTTCCCAGCCTCAGGTGGCAGCAATGACAAATTCCCCCCTCAACAAAATGTGCTGGGGAAACCTAAATGATATTTTTTTCTTGGCTTCACTATAAGTTACTAACTACTTGAAGGTACACAACAACTAATATTAGATCAGGTTAAAGTATCAGCTCAATATTCTCCCTTATGTCCCTTGAAATAGATCTAATTGTAGGCCTCAGTTTATTATCTACTAATTTATAGGATTGCTCTGAAAATTGGTAATACAAACATGAATAGAACGATGGAATTTATAGTCTGTAGTTATTGTAGCAAAGATATATCATTTACTTCAAGTTCCTTAAAATATAAAATATGATTCTTCTCCAAGACCAATAGCTTTCAAATATTTTTCCATATCTTCACTAAATGTCACTGAGCCACATATCAGTACAAAAGGTTGTCTTCTACATGTTTTCATCATACTTTTAATTAAGTCTTCATTTATTCGACCAATGTGTGTCTTCTCTCGAAAGCTCCATGGCAGATTTTCAAGTGAATTTTCCTGAATAGACAAAAGACACGACACATTTACAAAATTATGTCAGGAAATATGGTCAATACTACATTTATTAAGGGAGTTTGGGAAACATCAAAAACCACTCTGTAAGTTCACTGAGGCCCCTTCTACACTGCGCTATATCCCAGGATTTGATCACAGATTATCTGTTTTGCATTGGATTATATGAGTCTACACTACCTGATAATCTGGGAAAGTAAATAATCTGGGATTAGATCCTGGGATATAGGGCAATGTAGATCCAGCCTGAGAGAGATCCATCTGAACATTAGGAAGAACTTCCTGACTGTGAGAGCCGTTCAGCAGTGGAACTCTCTGCCCCGGAGTGTGGTGGAGGCTCCTTCTTTGGAAGCTTTTAAGCAGAGGCTGGATGGTCATTTGTCAGGGGTGATTTGAATGCAATATTCCTGCTTCTTGGCAGGGGGTTGGACTGGATGGCCCATGAGGTCTCTTCCAACTCTTTGATTCTATGATTCTATGTATATTTCTCCATCATTTAATAGATGGGTTAAATAGGTGACTTGTCTCTACAGTTAAGAGAAGGAAGCTTTAATGCGCAGTAATCTTGCTAATCTTTGTAAACTGCTGCATAAAAGTATACTCTTCAACAGCCTAAAACTAGTTTAAGCTACTCCTAACTAACTTTAGATGGATTGGGTCTGTCACTTTTGATTTTTTAAAGGCTAAGTGTAGACAAACTGAACAGAAAGGTTTATTCTTCCTGGCTAATAAATTTCCAATCCCAGTTATCTGACTGCAAAGATGTAGAAATTATAAACCATGCTGGCATGTTCCAAGAGGGCATAACCTATTTTTTAAAGATCTGCTTTGTGATATGCAAATCCATCTCTGCTTCCAAGCCATAATTTGTTAACTAGCCACAAACCACAATCTGACTCCATGGGAGTGGGTTGACTTGCAAACTCCAGCTTTCATTTCTCATGAACAGGAGGTGATAAAAGAGGCAGAAAACAAACTGAAATTCAGGAAAACAGAGTTTTTTTGGTTGCCTGCCATGTATAGTGCGTCTTCTGACAAATTAGAATTCAGCAACAAACCCCAGTTTATTATGTTGCATCTATGCTTAGAACAATAGAATAGAGAAATATATTGTCAGATGGAGGCACTGAAATCCAATTGTATCTGCCCAGTTGCAAGTCATGCAAAATATGTATTTTTTCTTTGCCCCAATAACTAGGATTGAGTCACATTCTATTTCCTTCATAAATGGAAATCTAATAGAATACCATGTCTTCAAAAAGTATTCTAAGAAAGGCTTTCATGCCCAGAATTACTGGGTTGCTGTGAGTTTTCCGGGCTGTATGGCCATGTTCCAGACTTTGAAATTGCAAGGCCAATTGCAACAGTCACTCTTGCCTCAAGCAGACAAGAGTTCTTTCTTCCATCCTAGACATTCCACAGATATATAAACATCACTTACCTAGTTTCTAACAGACCTCACAACCTCTGAGGATGCCTGTCATAAATGTGGGTGAAACGTCAGGAGAGAATGCTTCTGGAAATGACCATACAGTCCGGAAAATTCACAGCAACCCCATTCTAAGAAAACTCGTCTTGCATTACCTTGATAAGGGCACCAGCTGACGAAGAAAATTCATTTGACCAGCCTTCTCGTTACCAGTCCTGACTTAGTATCTGCAGGTCAAGCACTGAGCCACTTTGAGTTGATATAGATATACAGAGTGGGCCAAAAGTCACAAAGAAATTTCAATATTTTGTAACTTTTTTATTTTTTGTTTTTAATTTTCTAATATCATAGAAGCATATACAGTATATAAAGGTGATTACATTATATTATGTGTAAAATCTTTTTCACCTTTTCAAACAGTTACTAAAACATCAGATGCTTTTGTGACTTTTGGCCCATCCTGTCTTGAGGATTCAGTGTGTTTCAGGTTAATTCTCCACAATACCCAGAATTTAGCTTATAGTTAAACAGGAAAACAAATAAACAAGGCAACCTAAAGGTATATTTAGCATTCTGTTTTGAATGAATGTCAACTCTTGAAGAAAATATAAGCCTCTAAGCTTACACTTATCTCGAGGTGATTTTTTTGGGTACTGACTGATTTCTTTTTACTTTTAAATTGACACCTTGACTAAAGCCCCTTCCAATCAGCAGGAAAAAAATCCCACATTATCTGCTTTAAACTGGAATATATGGCAGTGTGGATTCAGATAACCCAGTTCAAAGCAGATATTGTGGGATTTTCTGCCTCAATATTCTGGGTTATATGGCTATGTGGAAGGGCTGTCAGTTACCTTATAAGAAAATAATAGGAATACAGATATCCACCTTGTGTTAACGGGTACAAACTGAATTTTTTTTGGAAGTAGCAGGAGTGACTCCTGGTGTGAGAGAATTGGCCGTCTGCAAGAACGTTGCCCAGGGGACGCCTGGATGATTTGATGTTTTTATCATCCTTGTGAGAGGCTTCTCTCATGTCCCCGCATGAGGAGCTGGAGCTGATAGAGGGAGCTCATCCGCCTCTCCCTGGATTCGAACCTGCGACCGATTTAACCCACTGTGCCACCGGGGGCTCACATCAAACTGAATGAAATCATCACAGACCAGACGCGCCTCTCACGTATTATTAAAATTGTACCTGCATTCTTGTACATGGGAGCCAGTTGCAATCCTCATAATCAGAATGCTCATATACATCAAATGTTTCATGTATTATCACACAGGTATAGGGAGAGGTACACTCCTATTGGAATATTACCTGGCTTAATACATAAAATGTCCTGATGTTCCAAAACTGTGACTGTTCTTGAAGGCGAGACTTCAAGTAAATGTTTTCAAATGTCCTGAAGCAGCCCACTAGGGTTACAAATGTTTCGTCATCCTCATTGTCTGTGATGTACTTAAGGATAGGAAGCATTGGCGTCAATCCGGTACCAGAAGCGAGTAGGAAAAGTTCTCCATACTAGAAGTAATGCAGAAGATGAAAAATCTATTTTAATAACTGGAAATGGAACAGCTGCTACATGAAATGAATGTATGCTGCAAATCTGTCATTTTAAACTTCAAAACCTTCAATATCTGTGGACTCTGTTTACCATCTTTATCAATTTCATCCACTGTTTAAGAGAGAATTCTTGATTTTACATCCTATGCAACATTTTAAAAAAGGATCCAAAAAGAGGCATTATTAGTAGATACCCCACAGTTGCAGATTTTCCTGATCCTTGAATTATGCCAAAGTCTAAATCCAAATATTTTCCAAACAGACACTTTAGATGGATAATGAGCAGCTGAGGTAATTTAGATTTAATTTGTTATTAAATTTAACTCGTACAATTTCCACCTATTCTTTGGTGGGATAATAATTGAACTAATGGGATTGCAACACTTAAGCTGATTAATCAGGTAAATTAATTGCGTGACAACTTTTAATCAACTAAGAAGATGCACAAGATTAATTGATACATAGGAGATTTTTGTACATTCATACACTATTTTGAATACAAATATTTTAAAAACGCAAATAGCACGTGTCATCTTTTAAAAGGCATACTCTCTTTACTCTCACACATGAAATATTCTCACAAACTCCCTAATGATGCGTTTTTAAAAACTGATTAAAAATTAAATTATTTTAAAATTATTATTGAAACACTGTTTCTTCTGTGACAGAGGTGGTTAACTCTTATCTCATGGTAGTTCTTCAGAGTACTATAGGACTCATTCTCACTGATGTGAGCAAGGCAGGATAAAAATAAAGTCAGAAGATCAATAAATAAATAAATAAAATATGTAAGGAGCAAGTGGAAGAGGTTTGAGAACACAAGGTGAGGCGAGGTAAGCAAGACTGAGCATTGTGAGACGTGGGGTGTGGAAAACAAAGGAGGGAGACATTGCAAGAGAGTCAAGTGATGTAGCATGCAGGTGGGAGACTGAACTGAGTGAGTGTGAAAGGAGTGTGTAAGATGGTGGATATACTGCAACAAATGATACAATGAGGAAGGAGAGAGGAATGGAGAGTGACAGGTGTAAGCCACAGAATACAATAAAAGCAACTAGATTTTAACACAGTTTTGCTGAGAAAACATGAGGCCCTATAGTCTCACGGTTAATTCCATAACCAAGCAGAGATTTGGGTCTCTCTGTTTCAAGTCCCCAACACTTTGAATTAAATTAATCTATACCTTGAATTAATTTTAACTGTAAAATAGTATAAAAGTTGAAGCATATTGGAAGATAAAATGTAATTGTGTTGAATTTTCATAATTAGAATAATCTGCATAATATACAAATTAGATATCTGGATTTGAGAAAGCAGAATATAGAACTCTTACAATTGAGAAGCTGTGCTGGTGGTCTTGGAGGAGGCGTGTATTTTGCCTTCATTATTTATTTATTTATTTATTTATTTGCCACATTTATATCCTGCCCTTCTCAACCCCGATAGGGATTCAGGGTGACCATATAAAGGCAACAATTCAATGCCATATACTGTATGAATACATCGGTAAATAAATAAAAACATTAAAACCAAACCCATTAAAAACATAGCATAAAACATCAATTAAAATCACATAATCCAAATTGTATTCCAGGGCCGGTCCGAGTCATCATTATATTAATTTGTAGTCTCATATTGCACTAGTCCCGTTACTGGCCGAAAACCTGATCCCAGAGCCATGTTGTCATTTTTTTCCCCTGAAGGTCAGGGGGGATGGGGGATATCTAATTTCACTGGGGAGGAAGTTCCATAGGCGAGGGGTCACCACTGAGTAGCCCCTGCTTCTTGTTCCCACCAATCGTGCTTGTGTGTGTCCATTGGACCATTGTTGTAAACCGCACTGAGTCGGCTACGGGCTGAGAGAGTGCGGTATACAAATAAAGTAAAGTAAAGTAAAGTTTATTTATTTCCAACATTTCTACCCATCCTTCTCAACCCCCAAAAAGGGACTCAGGGTGGCTTACAATGGCAGCAATTCAATGCTGACAACATACAAACACATTACAACAATATTATACAAGAGAAAAATATATTAAAATACATTGAATTAAAATACATCAAAATATGATTATTCATCATATAGAAGAGTCCAAATCTAGTTTAACCATTAGAGGGTGTATGTGTGTGTGTTTGATGAGCTTATTTTGGAGGTAGGCATATACCAAGATCCTTGAGGACTACAGACATTGCAATGGGAGCTGCTTGCAGCTATGGTCTGTACTTTCTCCACATCTCAAACAAAATGAAGACCTGTCACTGTCACTCCATCAACATTTGTTTTCTTTTGCATGATTTTTTTTAACCCTCTTCACTTTATAAAGTGAAGAGGTGTGCTTTGAAAGCCATCATAATGGTTTTTGTTCTTCTGGTTGGCTAAATAAAGGTAACAACATAATGGATATTTTGGATCTTGTTTGAAGGGCAACATGGCCACTCTGATATAAATATGCATATAGTGAAAGAAACTAACAGAAGGCCTAGGTGTTAGGGTGGTGTAAAACACATAGTTTGTATGTAGTTACAAATTAATATAGATCAGTGTCAAATTCTCAGTTGTTTAGGAATTATATGAAATTGTATCAATGGAAAACTTGAATTAAATGAGATTTAAACTGGCTTGTTTTCTTGCTGATTTCAATAATGTCTTTGTTTAAATCAATATGGAAAGAACATGCTTCATCAAATAACAAAGAGTTTTTTTTAACTCATATACAGATTTTTAGTATAATCCTAATCAAGTCTAATGAGAAGTAATTCCAAATGAATTCCAAGAAAACTATTCCACAGCAAGTATGCTTAAAGTATGCTTCAACTCAATCTATTGATGAAAACCTATGTGATTAATCAAGACTTATTTAACTGGAACTAACTACATTGTGCTATATTTAAAACTGATACTGAGGGTGAAAAGCGATTGGCAAATGATATTTTAGAGTATATTTAATAATTGTAACGGCCAAAATTTACATGTGTCAGAAGTAAGTAACACTGAGCGCAATGAAATTGCTGAGTAGATATACCTAGATATGGTATTCGTGTCTTATAGGGGTAATGAGCCAATTTACGTCTGGCTCTATATACTGGAATTTAGGGGAGATGGTTTCACAAGGGAAATAAATGCTAAATAACCACCTGCTATTTGCCCCAGAAAGTTCTGCTTCAATGTAAGCTATCAATAATGTCCGAATACATTGAACATCTCTATGGGGAGAAACTATTCCAAGACACATGAAAATTGACCTGTGGCGATGCTTGCCATAGGTGCAGGCGAAATGTCAGGAAAGAATGCTTCTAGAACATGGCCATATGGCCCAAAAAATCCAGTGATTTCAGCCATGAAAGCCTTCGACAATACAATGCCTGGACTGCTGAACTAAGCTCCTATCATACTTCTGTTATGGAGAAGTCACATTTATCATTATGTAACCAATTCCACAAAATTGTCTTAGAGGGTTGGGATCAACCAAAGCAGTTTGTCAACAATTCATGTTCCTCTTGTTCTGTACGAACACAACCCCAAATAACTTATGACCTAATAACATGATCTTGACTGGGTTCATTGATATTTGTCAATACTCTATATCAGGGGTCCTCAAACTTTTTAAATGGGGGGCCGGATTACTGTCCCCCAGACCGTTGGAGGGCCGGACTATAGTTTTTTTTAAAAAAATGATGACCAAATTCCTATGCACACTGCATATGTCCTATTTTGCTACTGTTATGAATTGTAATGTAAATATCTGATATGCATGATGTATTTTTATTGTTACAATCTGAACATAAAGCATGGTTTTAGCATTTCTGGAGATAAAATAGTTCCAATTAAAATGAGGAAAACATTCTATTTTCTGTCTTTTTGAAAGTGGTTTTTGGAATATGTAAGCATGAGTCCCCTTTCAGGGGGAGAAGGGCAGGGTATAAATATAGGAAATAAATCTATATAAATAAAAATGTAATGTTCGTTTGTGGGATTAACAGAACTCAAAAACCACTGGATACCTAACAACCCAATGTATGTCCTCCACTCAAAAAAAATTGATTTTGTCATTTGGGAGTTGTAGTTGCTGGGATTTATAGTTTACCTAAAATCAAAGAACATTCTGAACCCCATCAACGATGGAATTGAACCAAACTTGGCACACAGTTCTCCCATGACCAACAGAAAATACTGGAAGGGTTTGGTGGGCAGTGTCCTTTGGTTTTGGAGTTGTAGTTCACCTACATCCAGAGATCACTGTGGACTCAAACAATGATGGATCTGGACCAAACTTGGCACGAATACTCAATATGCCCAAATGTGAACACTGGTGGCATTTGGGGGTTGTATTTGCTGGGATTTATAGTTCACCTGCAATCAAAGAGCATTCTAAACTCCACCAATGATGGAATTGAACCAGTCTTGGTACACAGAACTCCCATGAACAACAGAAAATACTGGAAGGGTTTGGTGGGCATTGACCTTGAGTTTTGGAGTTGTAGTTCACCTGCCTCCATAAATCACTGTGGATTCAATGAAAGATCTGGCCCAAACTTGGCACGAATATTCCATATGCCCAAATGTGAACACTGGTGGAGTATGGGGGAAATAGAATCTTGACATTTGCGAGTTGTAGTTGCTGGGATTTGTAGTTCGCCTACAATCACAGAGCATTCTGAACCTCATCAACAATAGAATTGGGCCAAACCTTTCCAGAGCAGCGCGGGATGGAGAAGCCTGTGGAGGGAGAAGCACTCTCTGCTCTCCTACGGAGAACAGAGAGCGCAGCAGAGTGGACGCCATTCATTCCTCTGTAACAGACGATCCCTGGTGGCAAGGAAGGCGTGCGCAAATGGTGGAGGCGGCGCCGGGTGGGTGTGGCCAGGCTTCCAGGCGAGGGATGCCAACATCGCTTGGCCACGCCCACCTGGCGCCGCCTCCACCATTTGCGGACGCCTTCCTTGCCACCAGGGATCGTCTGTTACAGAGGAATGGCGTCCACTCTGCTGCGCTTCTCCCTCCACAGGCTTCTCCTTCCACACGGGATGGAGAAGCCTGTGGAGGGAGAAGCGCAGCAGAGCGGATGCCATTCCTCTGTAACAGAAAATCCCTGGTGGCGCGAATGGTGGAGGCAGCGCCGGGTGGGCGTGGCCAAGCGATGCTGGCATCCTTCGCCTGGAAGCCTGTTACAGAGGAATGGCGCCCGCTCTGCTGCGCTCTCTGTTCTCCGCGGGAGAGCAGAGAGCGCTTCTCCCTCCACAGGCTTCTCCATCCCGTGTGGAAGGAGAAGCCTGTGGAGGGAGAAGCGCAGCAGAGCAGACGCCATTGGCGGCGGCGGCGAGGGGCTTTGGACGGGCCGCGCGGCGAGGGGCTTTGGACAGGCCAGGACAGGCCGCGCGGGCCGGATAAAGGCCCTTGGCGGGCCGCATACGGCCCGCGGGCCGTAGTTTGGGGACCCCTGCTCTATATGGACAATATTAAGCTAGATGTACTTCTCATTAGAGAAATATTTCCAAGAAGGCTCTTCACTGAAAACATTACATTAGACAAGTGCTATGTGTGTGTATATGTATGCATGTCTGTAAATGTATATATGTGTGTGTATGTACAGAGAGAGAGAGAGCCCCCTTCCACACAGCTGTATAAATTCCATGTAGAACTGGATTATATGGTAGTGTGGACTCAGATAATCCAGTTCAAGTATTGTGGATTATCTGCCTTGATATTCTAGGTTATGTGGCTTTGTGGAAGGGCACAGGTGGGAGGGAGAGAGATATACTATTAATGACTAATAATTAGAATGACTATGTTACCTCAAGTCCAGCAGGTTGAGATACAGGAATCAATGAAACATAACGAGTGTCTGATCTCTAGAGGACTCAGAAAGACATCTGATCCACAATTAAAAAAAACATTCTGCAAGGTAGCCAGAAGAAAAATGTACTATGCAATTAGTTTTTGATAGCAGGACAACATTGCTGATAAACAGAAACAAAACAAGCAAACTATCTGTTATTTGTTGTGTGACATGGTTCTTCATATAGCCCATGCAGTAGGGTTAGATAGTTCCTTCCTGTCCTTTTCCTTGCTTAGTGGGAACAGGACTACCAGGGTTAAATTCATCCAACCCATTGAACAATAATTGTCCACTAATCACTGCCTATTTAATAGCAAATGGAGAGAGGAAGGAGCATGGCTGATTCAGAGAAAGGGAAAGTTAAAGCTGCCATATTTATTTCTCTGAAAACAATTTTATTTTGATATTACATGTCAGTCTACTTATTACAAATGTAAGTGATGGATGTTCTTAAGACTTGTAATGTTCATATGTGAAAATTCAAACCTGGGAATGTCTAAGGGCCCTTCCACACAGCCATATAACCCAGAATATCAAGGCAGAAAATCCCACAATATCTGCTTTGAAGTGGGTTACCCAAGTCCACAGTTATCTGAGTCCACAATTCAAAGCAGATAATGTGGGATTTTATTCAGATGTGTGGAAGGGGCCTAAGTCAATACTACTTCAGTGCCAGCTCATTTTCAACAACTGTGTGTCAAACATACATTCTCAGTATCGTAAGCCAATGAAACTCAATGGCAGGAGATTCAGGACAGATAAAAGGAAGTCCTTTTTCACGCAGTGCATACTTAATTTTCTCCTAGTGCCCTCCATTGTTTAATAAATTGCCCGATGAAAAGATCCTCATAACAGAAAATATGTTTGGTTGCTTGTTATTAGTGTTCTAAACTAGAATTAAGAAAGTACTGCCTTAAATTTTTGTAGTTTATTATATAGGTCTTACCTTATTGGCTACATAAGGAAATCCTCCAAATGGCCCCCTCCAAAAAACCACATCTCCTTTTTTCCAAGATTTTATATATTGTGACATTAGCCCAGCCTCATAGCACTGGTAAATAAAGCACAACATAAATAAAAGCATAATAGTTCAGGAGGGAAACACAATATTAAAAATGACTTTTGCTATAAATTTTTAAAAATCAGTTGGAAAAAACATATACAGAAAAACTATTTAAATGTGACACGTTAGACACTGAACTTTAGTATGGGAGTGTATGTTACCACACTCAAAAATAAAGTCCATTGCTTTGAACCTTGGCTGTACTTATTAAACTGGGAATAGACAGGCTCCCTTTTAAAACTTACTCTGACTACAAACAATGTTGCAAACAGAACTTGTATCAAGCACATATAAAAACAGCACTTATATGGTGTGCAATCCATTCATATACTGCAGACTTCTGTGCATATATAATAATGGTGTGAGTACAGTGGAATTCAAATGAATACAGCCCTTTTGGTAATTTGCTTCAGATCTTGTAAATCCTGCCCCTTTCCATTCTTCTTTCATCTATGATCATGTAAGATAATATGCCACATGATAAAAGTTCTCAAACTTCCTCAATAAAAATGACTGATAAAGTTGCAAGTCTGTCATTACAAGGCAAGGAGTCTTGCAGCCTCATGCTGACAAAATGTATTATTGTGTGTTTTTATGGTCTAGAATTAATTTATTAGATGCATATTTACACAGAAGCTAATAAGGCTTTTCCTCATTTCATTCAATGACAAAAATATTTTGTTGCTAGGTTTCTGTAGGGCAGGTTGCTGCTTAAACTTAGGAATACTGAGAATTCTGTGAAGAGAAAGCAGATGGGTATATTAAATTAAAGGCATGGAGAGTTAAGACTTCAGTGAGTACATTTCCCATGCATTAGAATATTGTACAGTAGAAACTGTATTTAGGACTGAATAGGTTTCTTCTTCATTCTAATGCAGAAATGACCAAACTGGTTTATAATGAATTCTTTGTAAATACAAGAGAAGGGAAACTCCTGGTGAGAAAACCTCTATGCCAGGTTTTATGCCCAAAAAACACCATAATATTATAGAATCACTCAAAGGGAGGGTTAAGCGCATAGAATCACCACTCACTCGCACTTAACTGTAGTATCACAAATGCAGTGCCGTAATCATGGGACACAGGGGTGTCTGAACAGCACTTGGATTGTATAGTAATAACAATAATAATATAGTACTTCCAAAAATTGCCTGAATAGTGAGAAATATACTACAATCTACAGAGCAAGTTATACAAATGGGTGCTTTATGATGGGTGTTCCATCTCTTTTGTTAGAGTCAAAGAATAACTATGGTTCCCTTTGGGATGAAAGGTTCCATATAAAGGGAAGGTGTTATTACAATCATTACTACTATTATTGAAATGCAAAACTTATATGTAATAAGCAAGTGTATATGGAATGTCACAGCCAACCTATGAAGGTAACAAATTAATGCAACTCAAATGTAGCACCCCCTCTCCAATTGCCACAATAATGATGAAATGATCCACCTACAAGTGTCTCATAAAAGCTAAACACACCTCAAAATGCTTAAGCTGTCACAGAATTAATGATAAAATCTCAAAAAGCACAAACGCCTGGAGGGCCAGCAAGGGGCAAAATGTTCTCTGTGACCTGCCTGGATCGAGTGTTTGAAGGGATCAGAATTAGAGTGGAATCTGTCTTCAACTGGGAATGTGTGAAAGCAAAAAGATATACTTGATTCTGGTATTTCTGGTCTTGAAATTATGGAAATAACCCATTCCTGAGCAGACATTTAGTAAACATTCCTTCTGAACATGATGAGTCAGGGACTGCAATCAATAAATCACTTAGACTCACACAGAAATCATTGAATTTACTCAGAATTGCCTTGCCAACTGATTGATACTGATCCTAAAAACAATGTCTTTCTACATGGCATTCCTTGCATTGTAATGATCACAGTTGTTTCTTTATTGCCAATTCATCTGGTTACTCTAACTTCAGATACAGTAACAATGTAAGAGGTAACTGTTATATGTGAACAGTATATTTTTGCCAGAATAGATGGCTCTCTGGTGTCCAGAAATACTTCACAGTGACGCAGTTTGGATCTTAGGCTGGATCTACACTGCCATATCTACTGACAGAGTAGGTAAAGATTTTCCTCTGACATTAAGTCCAGTCATGTCTGACTCTGGGGGCTGGTGCTCATCTCCATTTCTAAGTCGAAGAGCCGGCGTTGTCTGTAGACATCTCCAAGGTCATGTGGCTGGCATGACTGCATGAAGCACCGTTACCTTCCCGCCAGAGCGGTACCTATTGATCTACTCACATTTGTATGTTTTCTAACTGTTAGGTTGGCAGAAGCTGGGGCTGACAGCGGGAGCTCACCCCACTACCTGGATTCAAACCCGCAACCTTTCGATCAACAAGTTCAGCAGCTAAATTCTTTAACCCACTGCGCCACCAGGGGTCCCAACTGGTAGAGTAGACTCATATAATCCAGTTCAATGCATTCTGGAACGACATTACTTGATAGTATAGAGCCAACTTCAGTGCTATCCCACACTCCTAAACTATAGACAGCAAGCAGCACCAGTGAAAACATTTGGGTGATGAACAAAAGGCAAGGAGATGAAAGGTCTCATCAGGCACCTTTGCAAGCATGAGATGCTGCAGCCCCACATAATTCAACTGCTGTCTCAAGGATACTCAATTTATCTTTCAACTGCACCTACACTACAGAATCAATGCAGTTTGTCATCACTTTAATTGCCATGGCTCAATGCTATTGGGATTATGGGAGTTGCAGTTTTATGGGATTATGGGAGTTTTATGGGAGTTTATGGGAGTTTTATGGGATTATGGGAGTTGCAGTAATCTTTTGACTTCTCTGTCAAAGAGTGCTGGTGTCTCATCAAACTAGAACTCCAGTTATTCCACTGTATTGAGCCCTGTCAGCTAAAGTGGTATCAAACTGTGTTAACACCACAGTGTAGATACACCCTAAATTTGATTGTGGTATTTGTGCTGCTACATGCAATAAATGGACTCTGCTCTGAACATGCATCAAAATAAGAGGTAGGAATTCCAAGACACAAACTTGGACAAAATTCCTTCAGATTGCAGAAGTGATTTCACATTTTAAAGTGCTCTCTGGTGTACCTAATTGGGTATAGTATAACATACACAAGGAGGAACAAGAGCTCATATTTTGACCTTCATGTGCTAGCTTTAAAAACTTGGAGAAATCTTTTGCTTTGTTTTCAACATCAGAGAAATATTCCGAACCTGTCTGAAAGAGTCCTGTTACCCTGGCCTACCACCACATACCGCGGCAACTACAGACCTGGCCTTGGTTCAGGGGAGGCAGGGGGCAAGAGAATCTCAAATATTGATTAGGCGTAACAAGCCAAATCTTTGACTGCAGGCCTCTAGTTATTAAAGTACAAAGTAAAGCACTCAGCTGCTGTAGAAGATGATACAGTTCCTACGTCAAGCTGTTAATCTATAGAACAAAGGCATCTATTTACCTTTATTAAAACTTCAAAGTACCCTTCAGCATTCACAGGAGAAATTGGAGTGTAGGCTCTCTGAACCTCCAAGCCATTTACTAGTCCTCTGAGGAAGGGGGAGAAAAAAAAGAGAGGGTGAGAAAGAAAAAGAAGATAGAAGGGAGGGAGGGAACCCTGATTGAGTCCCTGACAATTCTTATCAGCAGAGTACTGCTCTCTCAGTAAAAGCTGCCATGGAAAAAAGCACTGCAGGTCTTCTTCTTCTTTCCCCATGAGCTGTCCTTTGCCGAGTCAGACAAAAGATCATTCCTTCCCATTTTACAATCACAGAGATCCAAGGGACTGAAATAACCTCAGTGTTTTCTCCCATATGCTGCCATGCCATCTTCCTTTTCCTAGGACCAGATAAAGCACACAGCCAAATTTGATACTTTGTGAAGTATTTCTATGCAGCTTACAAAGTAAGAGAAATAGGGAACTATAAAGGGAAAGGATTATACAGGCAGTCTCCGAATTACAAACATAAGACTTACAAATGACTCATAGTTAAAAATGGGAGTGACACAACAGAAAGTGAGAGTAATCTATCCTTCGAAAAGGAAATTCACTCCTGAAAGAGTTATCATGGAGTAAAGGTGTCTCAACTGAAGCTTTATCACCAAGCCTTGTTTCCATAACAAGTCACATTTTTCAAAATTCAATGATCACAGGGACAGAAAGTGAGGTGAAGTCTTCTGAACCGGGGCACAGACAGCAAAACAAAAGGGGTGTTAACCCTTTCCTATGCTACCAAAAGCGCGTGTGTGTGTAAAGCTTTTTTTTTTTGCTGGGGAAAATGGAAGGAAAAAGGAAGAGGGGCTGACCAAGGGCAAGATGAATGGATGCTATCCTTGAAGAGACTGGCTTGACCTTGAAGGAGCTGGGGGTGGTGACGGCCCACAGGGAGCTTTGACGTGGGCTGGTCCATGAGATCACGAAGAGTTGGAAGCAACTGAACAAATAAACAACAAATATATGGGTGTGTGTGTGTGTGTGTGTATGGCTGGAATTATACTTTAAAATGTACCTGTTCCGACTTACATACAAATTTAACTTAAGAACAAACCCACAGAACCTATCTTGTTCATAACTTGGGGATTGCCTGCATAGAGGTTGGGTGGGAAAGAGGCTTTCCGCTGTCTTTACAACTGGTTTTGAAAAGCTTACTAATACATTATAATAATATTAAAAATGTTACCTTGTGACTGAAATCCTGAATTTGAGAGTGCTCTTAAAATGTATAATATTTACCTATGGCTGAGAAGATCTTGAAATATTCACATTTCTAGCTCACTTCTGATATCTACTGCCACTTACTTGTTGCAATGCTATCACATTTTTCTAAAAATGTGAAATTTGAAATAGACCTGAAAAGCTGTAATTGGCTTATCAGGTAGAATATGCCGATTTAATCTAATGAACTGCTTCTGTCATATTGATATGCACCCACCAGGTTGGTACAAACTAACTTACCATAGCCATCTGAAAAAGTTAAAATTAACAACTTACATTTTTTTCGGTTCAATACTCCTTTGCATTAACTAAAATAAAGCTAGTTGGAACATCTTGCTATCAGAATTCATTCTATCACTTTCATAACACTGTATCTCTCTGCAGATAGAAACTTTATTCATTTGACTCTTATTAATGACAGTGATAATTCAAATAGCTGGTGTGATACAACAACAACAACAACAATAATAATGATAATAATAATAATAATGCATTTTATTTCTTATCTGCCTCTCCCGAGGTACAACGTAAGAGTTAAAATACAGTAGCTAAAACATAAAACTATTGGACATTGCTGGTGAAATTAAACCAGGTAATTCTGGAGATTAGCTATACTATTCAGTAGGTGACTATACGAAAGGCCTATCACTTATTTTAATTTGCTTCACACAACTAATGAGAGGGTAAAATCAGAGCTCACGAGAAGGACAGAAACAAAGGTAATAAATATGTAAATTATTAGAGAGGCAGTAATGTACTGCTATATGCTTAACTGCTTGAAGATTTTTAAGAAGTTAATATATTTTCCTTGTGAGTTAGTGCATGGTGATCATCTTAGCATATATTTGTTTTCCCCCCACCCTTTTTCTTTCTGTAAACTAGTTCTCTTACCCCACTTAATTCTACCTCCAACATAACTGAAATTGAAGGAAAAAGCAACTACAGGGTAGCATATACCATAAAATTAACATGGTTAATAAGCTCAATGAGCTACAAGTCCTTTCAACAGGATCGCTTGGAAGCAGAGAACTTATTATTTACTTGGCACGAATCCTTTGTAGAGCAACAAAAAAAACAGAACATAGGATTGTGTACCATGGCCTGTTTAACTAGAAATGCAGCACGCTACCTTAGCACAACATGTTGTCCTAAACTCAGACCCAGCCTACTATTTTCAGGCAATTCAAAAGTATACTGGTAGGTGTCCTCTGTCAGCTGATCCACAGAGCATATGATAAAAGGCGTAAATGTTTCTGGAGTTAGTTCTGAATTGGTACTCTGAAAGAGCAACAATAGATAATTACTACTTCAAAGAATGCCCCCTCCCTTAGAACAAAAAAATCAACCCAAATGTGCATGCATTCAGTGCTAGTAAAACATGGTCCTACACATTTTTAAAAAGTTCTACACAACAAGAACATCATATTTATATTAATCATATTTCAATACATTCTTCTTAGTAAAATCATCATTTAAATATTGGAACCTCTTTGAATTTATGTAGTATAAATACTAGGATTTCTTTGATTTTTGGAAGTGAGAAAAAACACAAAACACATCCATATCCAAGTAGCAGTAACATACACTAAGTAGGATTTCCCAGGAGACAAGAAAGGAGGCAATTTTCTATTCCATTCTATTTTTTATCCTTGTTTAACATTTAACAACAGTTTCATTTTTCTAAATGGTGTCATTTCTTTCCTGGTTCCATTAACAGAAGAAACTATATAGGTAAAGCTTCTCAGAGTATGATTAACCATGAAAGGAAAAATGTTTTTTTTCTAATTGCTTTGAAGTCTTCAAAAGCATAGGTTCGCCTTCTACCCAGTTCAACTTCTCACATCCCAGATTACAATGTGTGCAGGGCCCTTCCAGACAGGCCCTATATCCCAGGATCCGATCCCAGGTTTTCTGCTTTAAACTGGATTATATGAGTCCACACCACCACACTGGGATAAAAAGAAAACCTGGGATCAAATCCTGGAATACAGGGTCTGTCTGGAAGGGCCCTTGGCCATCACACAACAAGGCAGGGAAGGGAATGATATGGCCTTCTGGATGATGTTGGACTGTAACTCCCAGCAGCCCTTGCCTGCAGAACCAGTGGCAAAGCATGTTAGGGGTCTCTGTTCAACAATATCTATAAGGCTACACAATTTCAACTCGTGCATTTAAGAGTTGGCTGATGGAAATGGTTCAACCCCACCCTTGCTCATTTCAGACAAAACACACTATACACTGCTTTTGTGATCTTCATTTCCTCTCACTTATTTCTCCTGCCGTACAAGCTCCCAGCACAATCCTATATATGTTTCTGCATGGATAGGATTCACTACAGTAGGTATACACAGAATTACAGCTTCAGTCCCAACATTATTTCTCAGATATTCATTCATTAAAAACACTATATATATTTAAGAATTTAGTAGTTACCATCCATTTTAACAGAAATTGAGAAGTTTGGCAGAACTTTACAAATCTAAGGAGTAAACTGATTGAATTGTGAAAGTTGAAATGTTCTTCAGTGTCAGGAATGTTTGACAGTTCTATAGTTGGCCTTCCACATTTGCAAGTACAACTTTTGCAGATTTGATTATTATTTGCAGGTTTGGAGATATGTTCTCTGTAGTCATTTGTAGATAGTGTGATTCTATGGTAAAATTCATAATTACACATAGAGTCATGCTGGAGAACACAAAGATTGCTTTTTTATCGTGTCCGAAGCAAATTGAGAATATACTGTAAGTCGCTTCTGGTGTGAGGCAATTGGCTGTCTGCAAGGATGTTGCCCAGGGGACACCTGGATGTGTTATCATCCTGTGGGAGGCTTCTCTCATGAACCTGCATGGGAAACTAGGGCTGACAGATGAAAGCTAGCTCACTCCGTCTCTTGGAATTGAACCACCGACCTTCAAGTCTTCAGGTCAGCAGTTCAGCTGGCACAAGGGTTTAATCCATTGCACCACCACAGCTCCTATAAACATTGCTAGAGAGGTGTTCTCTCAGGAAGAAAAATCATTTTTTAATTTAGTTTTTCCATTTTTGTGGGAGTTCTGAACCTCTAACTCCAGTTAATGTTGAGGGCTTACTGTACTCGGGGGGGGGGGGATGTGTTTCTGATAAGTAATTATACCTAATTACTTCAATAAAATCACTTAATAATACTTAGTGAGAAAGGAGACCAACAGACAAACAGACACAACTGATCAACAGATTAGAAATCTGATGCATTTAAATAGCCTTATATCTTAAAAGTAAAAAATACACAAGAGACTGGACCAGAAAAAAAACTACTTCAGTGCATGAACATTGCGATGCAAATAGATTTGTGAGAACTTACTAAATAAAGATATAACATAACAAAAGGGTATTTGGGAAGCAGCACCAAAATAGCTCTTCACAGATGCCGAAAATTGGCACACAACTTTCTTTTATATATTATCCTGAGCATTCTTACTACAGAAATAGTGTGTTTCACATTCTTTTGCAAAACAGCTAGCAAAAAGTTTATCAACAAATGCATTAAGAATTGGCAGTTAAAGGCAAGCATATCTTGAAGTAGGTTTCATTGAGATCAATTGTATTAACTTCCAAGCTTCTTCTTTAAAACTGTGAGGATCTCACTAAAATGTTATTATTCAAATATTTTATATGTTTCTACTTGCTGTTTCTTCCTAGTCAGGAGGCTTCTGTCATTTTTGGCTTTGGCCTCTTCCCATTTCTCCAGTTCTTTCTGATATATGTCATAGATGCATGGTTTGCAGCCACTGCCACAGCACTGAGATGGCAAGGGTTCAATGGGCTTGAGAGAGAGCCAGACATCTTCACTATCCTCCACCATCTATAAAATGAAAAGTAATATTATTTGTTTAAAATAATTGTATGAAGACATCTCTTCTGGCTGTACCCAAATAGGGATCTAAATTCTTAACGGCTTCAGCCCTTGTTTGGAAACATGTTCCATTGACACGAAAGGAAATGGGCTGCAAGACCTTCAAATTCCAGATGAAGTGTTCCTTTCCTATCTATGCTGTTTCACATTGTGTCAACTCCTGAATCTGTGTTTTAGTCAAAGTAGTCAAGGTAGGAGACATTCGCTGAATTGGAGCATGCTTTTGCGTTTTGTGGTTGTTCTTTGTATCACAATTAAATGTAAGCAAATATTTGTATCTCAAACAATGATTCATTAAGTCTGCAATCACCTAATCTTAAGACAACTGAATGAAATATCAGAACATTTGGTCCATTTTGAAAACTATTTCGGTTTCTTTTCCCATTCATTACTTTGGAAATGGAAAAAGAAACAGTTGGAAAATCTAGGTCCTCACTCATAGAATCATAGTGTTGGAAGAGACCACATGGGCCATCGGGTCTAACAGCCTGCCAGCAGTAAAAACTCAAACAGATGGCCATCCAGGCTCTGTTTAAAACCCTCCACCACATTCCAACACAGAGAGCTCCACTGCTGAACAACTCTTACAATCAGGAAGTTCTTCCTAATGTTCAGGTGGAATCTCCTTTCCTGTCATTTGAACTCATTGCACAGAGCCCTAGTTTCCAGGACAGCAGAAAACAAGCCTGCTCCCTCTGCCTTGTGACACCCTTTCACATATTTATACATGGCTAGGTTTTTAAATGCTTGTATGTTATTGTTTATTTTTGTTTTGAGATTTATTTTACTGTTTTGTATTGATTATTTTGTTATTGCCTTCATTTTATTGATATACTGTGGGCTTGGCCTCATGTAAGCCGCACCGAGTCCCTTGGGGAGATGGTAGCGGGGTACAAATAAAGTTTTATTATTATTATTATTATTAATCATGTCTCCTCTCAACCTTCTCTTCTGCAGCTAAAACATACCCATGTTGTCCACTAAGGCCCCAAGATCCCTTTGAACAGACTATTGTTGAGTCAAGCGTTCTGTATCTATGCATTTCATTTTTTTCTACCTAAGTGTAGTATCCAACAATTCTCTTTGTTGAAATTCATTTTGTCAGTTTTGGCCCAGCTCTCAAATATGTTAAGGTTATTTTGAATTTGGATCCTCTCCTCTGGAACATTAGCTACCCTTCTGAATGTGGCATCATCTGCAAACTTGATACGCATGCCCTCTAAACCTTCATTTATTCCAAGTCATTAATAAAGGCCCCTTCCACATAGCTGTACAAAATCCATATTAAACTGTATTATATGGCGGTGTGGACTCAACCCAGTTCAGTGCAGATATTGTGGATTATCTGCCTTGATATTTTTTCTATGGCTGTGGCTGTGTTCTATGTTGACACACTTGTACAGGACTGCTGTAATGACTTTCAAGTCCCAGAAGTCATACACTCATATAATCCTTGAGATGGAAGAAACCTCGCTGGTCATGCAGTCCAACCCCTGCAAAGAAGCAGGAAAATGGCATTCAAAGAACCCCCAACAGATAGCCATCCAGACTTTGTTTAAAGAAGGCTCCACCGCACTCTGGGGCAGAGAGTTCCACTGCTGAACAGCTGTCACAGGAAGTTCTTCCTGATGTTTTAAGAAGAAGCCTCCACCACACTCTGGGGCAGAGAGTTCCACTGCTGAACAGCTCTCACAGTCAGGAAGTTCTTCTTAATGTTCAGGTGGAATCTCCTTTCTTTTGGTTTGAAGCTATTGTTCCGCCTCTTAGTCTCCGAGGCAGCAGAAAACAAGCCTGCTCCCTCCTCCCTAAGACTTCCCCTCACATATTTATACATGGCCCTCATCATGTCTCCTCTCAGCCTTCTCTTCTTCTGGCTAAACATGCCCAGCTACTTAAGCCGCTCTTCATAGGGCTTGTTCTCCAGACCCTTGATCATTTTAGTCACCCTTCTCTGGACACATTCCAGCGTGTCAACATCTCCCTTCAATTGCGGTGGCCAGAATTGGACGCAGCCCCAGCCAACTTGGCTGACAGTGGGGAATTCTGGGAGGTGAAGTCCAAAACACCTGAGGCCACGGGATGCGCCCTGAGTGCCTTGTTGATTAACGCTAAGGGCTTGCTGAGGGTCGAGCCACGTCCCGCTTCCTACAGGACGAGAGCGCCGTCAATCACCCAGCAGCCCCGCCTCCCTACCCGGCATGCGTTGGGCGCGCAGACGAGGCAAAATGGCCGCCGCCGCGCTTTCCTCAGCGAGCGGTGAGGTTTGTCGCCGGTCCTGAAGCGCACGGCGAGGAGGAAGAGAGGCGGCTGAGGGAAGGATGCTGGCTTTGCGGCGGGCGCCCACACGGGCTTGGCGGGGCTTGCCTTGCGAGCAGCGGCGCAACAAGGGCCCCTACGGGCCGAAGCTTCACCGCGGCCCGCTGCCTCGCACCCCGATGACGGTGCGGGGCCCTCCGCCGGGCGCCCCTCTGCCGTGGTACTTACGGAAGCCGCCGCCGGTGCGCGAGCAGGTGCCCGAGATGGACGTGGTGACGTGCCAGGAGAAGCTGTACTTGGTGCCCTGGCTGGCCAAGCCCGCCTCGTTCCCCGAGTGGCAGCGCGGGTGGGACGACCCCCGGAAGCACCGCTCGCCGCCCGCCCTGGAGATGCCCGCCTACAAGGAGCGGCCCTGCTTCCTCTGCAATCCGCGCACCCGCCTCCACGAAGGTACCCGCCCCGCACCGGAGACTCCCTCGTCTTCTGTCCGCCATGCGCCTCAGGCCTCTGGGGTTGCTGGAATCACCCACCACCCAGGCCTCAAACTGGGCCTAGGATTTCCTTCGGAATCACCTGCACAGGGAAACCCTTTTCAGTTTGCATTAAATGGTCAGGGGAGGTGAGGCCCGCACTCTGTACTCTTGCCAGAGCAATGGCGAAGGGGTCGGAAGCAGACAGTCCAGAGTGTGGCAATAGTAAACCCAACTGGACTGAGGATTTGGCCCATGTTGTAGACCCGAGCCTTTCAGGACATCACTCATAGTGGTTTTCAAAGGGCTACGGGTGCATCTCCACCAGGCATCCTCCAACTGCAGCTCTCCAACTCCCAGAATTCCTGACCATTGAACAAGCTGGCTAGGGCTTCGGCAGGTCAGAGGCCCAAACAGCTGGAGGGCTGTACTTTGAGGATGCCTGATCTCCACTGTAGAATCAATGCAGTTTGACACTACTTTAGCTTCCATGGCTCAATGATATAGTAGGTAAAGATTTTCCCCTGACATTAAGTCCAGTCGTGTCCGACTCTAGGAGTTGGTGCACATCTCCATTTCTAAGCTGAAGCGCTGGCGTTGTCCATAGACACCTCCAAGGTCATGTGGCCAGCATGACTGCGAGGAGCACCTTTACCTTCCCATCGGAGCGGGATATAATAATAATACAGGGTTGTAGGTTTTTTAGGATATGTGACCATGTTCTAGAAGCATTCTCTCCTGATTTTTCGCCTGCATCTATGCCAGGCATCCTCAGAGGTTGTGAGGACCTCACAATCTCTGAGGGTGCCTGCCATAGATGGAGGCGAAACATCAGGAGAGAATGCTTCTGAACATGGCCATACAGCCTGAAAAACATACAGCAACCTCGTGATTCCAGCTATGAAAGCCTTCAACAATACATTATTTCCTGACGTTTCGCCTGCAACTATGACAGGCATCCTCAGAGGTTGTGAGGACCTCAGCCTCTGAGGATGCCTGCCATAGATGCAGGCAAAACATCTGGAGAGAATGCTTCTGAAACATGGCCATACAACCTGAAAAACTTTCATCAACCTAGGGATTCCGGCCATGAAACCTTCAACAACACATAATAATAATAATAATAATAATAATAATAATAATAATAATAATAATACATTTTATTTCTACCCCACGACCAGCTACCCAAATACGAATAGATCTACACTTGTTATCCAAATTTTAGCTCCTAAAACCTTGTTGGTTTGGGTGACTCAGCAGCTGCAGTATTGGTTGTTAGAAAAATATTCCTGTTTGAGCACTATGCTTCATGTTGTGTCATGTTATAGCTGCAGCCCCTTAATATTAAATATGCCACTCTTTGTACAAGATCTTTAGCCTTCTCTGCCAAAAAGTGCTGGTATTTCGCCAAACTACAGTCCCCATGATTCTGTGACATTGAGCCATGGCAGATAAAGAGGTGTCAGGCTGCATTCTTTCTACAGTGTAGATCAGGCATTGGCAATCTTGGGCCCTCCAGGTGTTTTGGACTCCCAACTCCCACAATTCCTAACAACCTCAGGCCCCTTCCTTTTCCCCCTCAACTGCTTAAGTGAAAAGAAAAGGGCCGTGGCCTGAGGCTTAAGCTGCTGAGGGAGAAAAGGAAAGGGCCTGAGGATATTAGGAATTGTGGGAGTTAAAGTCCAAAACATGTGGAGGGCCCAAGATTACCTGTGCCTGGTGTAGATGCACCCTTATTCTTTCAAGAGTTCATATACTTGCCTGTCAATTTTAATAGGTATGCAGCAGGATCTGGTAGCACCTTTAGAGACCAAAAGAAATTGTAGCATGAACTTTCGTAGACTTAGGTTGGATCTGCACTGTAGAATTAATGCACCTTGACTCCATTTTTACTGCCCTGGCTCAGTGCAATGGAATCATGGGTTCTGTGGTTGTACAGGGTCTTTAGCCTTCTTTGTGCTGCAGCAAACTACAAGTATTCTACAGTGCACATGCACCCTTAGTCTGCTTCCTCAGATTGGATAAAGAAATAGAATGGGCAGCCTGACAAACATAAGCCAGTTCCACATATGGGTCCCTTGGTGCCAGATAGTAACCCAAGTCTATGAATTTAAAGTAGTGGTTCCCGACCTTTTTTTACCAGGGACCACTCTCCAACATTAGTACCCAAAGGATTACGAATCGGTTTTTGGTCAACTTTAGATTCGGTTTGGTTATTTGGGGTGCTGATTCAGAAAATTATATTGAATAGATCACATCAGCTCTAGTTTTTAATGCAAAACATATGCCATCCAGTAGTCGCTATTTGCTAGCCCACAGAAAATCCTATTTAATAATCTAAAGCTGATGTGATAGTAGTAACCTTTTATGGGTAGTCAGCCTCTCCCCTCCCAACATCCCTGTTGCCTCAGCACTATAAGAAGGTTTCACGAAACCAGTTGCTCTTGTTGCTGCATGGTTTCGAGGTAATGGTGTAGTAATGGAGAGGCCGCGGACCATATTTTTGTTCTTGTGGACCATTGGTGGTCCGTGGACAACAGGTTGGGAACGACTGATTTAAAGGGAAGCAACTGAATACAGTTGGGCCTTTATCAAAATCCATGGATGGTCAAATCTCATATACAAAGGCATATTAAAATTATTTACCTTATATAAAATGGCAAAATCAGGTTTGTTTTTTGGATGTATATGTATGTGTACACATTCATATATGGAATATTTTCAAACCTTGTGTGCAGAATCAATGTATTTGGAGAGCCAACTGTAGCATAATGCCCTTCTGTTGCAGAAACAGGTTATCCATTACCTTTCTTCAGTATTTTGTGTCTCAGAATGATTCAGTTCCCATTTCCCCAACTCCAGACTCCCCAAAGTTGGGTAGAAAAACCTAGTGGCCTCAATTTACAGATAATATGAATGGCAGTGTAAAATGCAGCTCCCCCTAAAATTTGTTTCTTTGACATCAGGTGTGAAACAGGCATTATGGCTAACCAAGACAAAACTAGTAGAAGGCTTGCCTCCTCAGATACTTCACATAATGAATGACACAGCTCATGAATGGGAAAACCAAGATGAGAGAGTCCAAAATGCAATCTCTCATGCACTTTTTTGGATTAGCACCGAGGAACTTACACCAGCAGAAAACTCCTGGTAAGGTTTTGTTTTATGTTTTCTTCCTAGGGTTTCGTAATTTCTGAGTTGCTTTCAAGATTGAAATTTTTAAAGGTGCAGTGAAAAAAATGAATAAGAGCCCTTCCACATCACCATATAACCCAGAATATCAAGGCAGAAAATCCCATACCTGCTTTGAACTGGGTTATCTGAGCCCACACTGCCATATATTCCAGTTCAAATCTGAAAATGTGGGATTTCATACAGCTGTGTGGAAGGGGCCTAAGATGAGGAAATATGTTAGACATTTCTTACCCTCTAATGTATTTGGCAGGAGAAGTGGTTATTTGCATTCAGGTTCACTGTTTTGTAAATTAAAATGTAATATAATACAAGAACAGAAACTACATAATGTTTACTTAGAGAAAATGAGTCAGTGTAAAATATAAGATGTGGTTATTGTAATTATGTTTACATATATCCAGCATTTTCCACTTGATTGGAACTTAAGGTGGCATTTACAGGAAAAGGTGCAGCTTACTATTGTAACATTGCTTCCTCCCAAACACCATGCTTGGTGAATGAGGGAGAAAGTGATCACCTATCTGTGATCTATTTCTTGCCATTCTTGGTAAAGAGATGCAATAGACCAGGGGTCCTCAAATGTCTTAAACAGAGGGCCAGGTCACAGTCCCCCAAACTGTTGGAGGGCCGGATTATATTTTGAAAAAAGCATGAATGAATTCCTATGCAGACTGCACATATCTTATTTGTAGTGCAAAAAACACTTTAAAACAATACAATAATTAAAATGAAGAACAATTTTAACAAATAAGAACGTATTCGTATTTCAGTGGGAAGTGTGGGCCTGCTTTTGGCTGATGAGATAGGATGTTTGTTGTTGTGTGCTTTCAAGTCATTTAAGACTTAGGTTGACCCTAAGCGACGGCTGGGTAAATGACCTTGGAGGGCCATATTCGGCCCTCGGGCCTTAGTTTGAGGACCCCTGCAATAGACCTTCCACTTGTAAAGATAGTGGGGCTTGCTTCGTATCTGCACGAGTTTGTGCTTGTAGGAAAACAAAAGCATAGTTTATCTTCTTTTACACTCTGTAAAGCCTCTTGGAGACATTCCATATTGGGAAGTTCTTTCTAATAGGAAAATTTCTTTACCTAGTCTCCAGAGCAGCAGAAAACAAGCTTGCTTCATTCTCCATGTGACAGCCTTTCACATATTTGAACATGACAGTCATGTCACCTCTTAACCTTCTCTTCTCCAGCCTAACATATCTAGCTTCCTAGGCAACTCATCCTCATAAGGCATGATTTTTGGACTTTTTACCATTTTGGTCACTCTCCTCTGGAC